GTGCGCTCCCCAGAGAAAGACAGAGTGAGAGAAAGAGAAAGTGAGAAGTCACCCTCTCAGGGGGAATGGCCAAACCAGAGTTCTGCGCGCACACACACACATGCACGCACACACCCATCATGTTTTTCAAGTCACAGGGTCTAGGACTTGAATCACACTGAAGGCCATGTGGGACCCAGTCACCTTAACCACCTTTCCACTGGCTTGCCCCTTTTTTTCTTTAATTATTTCTCTAATTAATTTTATTTATTATTATTATTTTTTAAGTTGACCAAAGAGACAGAGAGAGAGGGGGGAAATGAGAAAGCAAGCCACTAGGCCCAGGACTTGAACCTCAATCAGCCATGTGGGAGTCTAGCACCTTAACCACCATATCACCTGATGGCCCTTCTTTTTTGTTTTTATCTTTTCACTCTTTTCCTTTTCTTTTTTCTTTTCTACCAGAGACTGCATACACACACACCAGGTGGGGAGGGAGTGAGAAAACGCTCCCCAGCAGTATCTGATTATGCTGCAATCCTTTTAAATTTTTTTTCAAATTGCCAGCGGGTGCATGCACTTGCCAGTGAGGACAGAGAAGGAGGGAAAGGGAGTAAGCAGCCCCCAGTGAGGTGTGGTCATGCCACAATCTCTCTATCATTTTTCCATCCTATCAGGGTTCTGGGCATGCACACAAACACAGGGCATGTTTTTTTTTGTTTGTTTGTTTTTAAAATAATTATTTTATTTAACTTTATTTATTTATGGAAAAGTTTTTGCTATAGGGTGTGTACACTTGCCAGAAAGACAGTAACAGAGAGACAGAAAGCAAGAAATCACCCCCACCCCCGGGGGGATGGCCACGCTGCAATCATTTCTCCACTCTCCTCTTGGGATCCTGGGCACGCACGCACACGTGCCAGGCATGAGTTTAAGCTACCGGGTCCAGGACTCAAACCACAGTTGACTAACTACACAGGAGTCCAGCAACATAGCCATTATGCCAACTGCTGGTCCCTATTTATTTATTTTTAATTTTAACCAGAGAGGTATAGCGTGGGGACAGGGGAGTGAGAAAGCACACTGCCAGGTCTGGAACTTGAACTGCAGTCAGCCATGTGGAAGTCCAGCGCCCTCAACCACCACACCACCTGCTGGCCCCCACAGCATGTCTTTTTTCAAGCTGCCTGGGCTGGGCTTGAACCATAGTCAGCCATGTGGGATCCAGCTCCCAGAAATAGTAGGCTACAGAGCTGGCCCATGCTGTAATCCTTTGTCCTTCAAGTCTCATTTCATCAAGACGCTGGGCACGCTGGTGTGCACCTGGTGTGTTTTTTGAGTTGCCAGGGCCAAGACTTGAATCGTGGTTAACCATGTGGGTTTTGGCCTCCTCTATGTAATGTCTAACCACCATACCAAGGGGTGGCCTCTTTCTTTTTCCTTTTTTATGTCTTTAGGTTTTTGCTGTAGGTTGTGTGTGCTCTCTAGAGAGAGACAGAGAGAAAGCGAAAGTGAGAAATCACTCCTGGGGAGGATGGCCATGTCACAATCCTTTTTCTTCCATTCCCTTCTTGGGGTTTAGGGCATACACGCATATGCACCCAGTGTGATTTTCAAGTCCAGGACTTGAATCATGTGAGATCCAGCCACCTTAACCTCCACACCACCTGCTGGCTCTGTCTTCTTCTTCTTTTTTTTTAATGCTCTTTTATTTTATAGGATTAGCAGATGGCATAATTGTTATGTTACTGGATTAGCATATAGTCAACCGCAGTTCAAGTCCCAGACCTGGAGGCTTAAAATTCACACTGGGTGTGTGTGCATGCATGCCCGAAATCCTGAGAGAAGAACGGAGAAGAGATTGAAGCATGGCCATACCTCCTGGGGGGTGATTTCTCACGTTCTATCTCCGTTTCTTTCTGTCTGTTTGACAAGCACATGTGCCCGATAGCAAAAATATCTAAAACGAAATAAAGTTGTATTTTATTCATAATGGAGAGGACGTGCATGCACATGAAACACACACACAGAGAAGCCTTGAAAGGGTCTGCCTCCAGCCCTCCAGTCTCCAGCTTGTCAGGACTCTGTGTGCATACGTGACGTCTCAGGCGGACCGGCTGGGGATCTGAACCCGGGCTCAGCATGTGGCTTCTAGCACTGCAGTCCAGTCCGCTATGAACGGCACCACCTCGGCCATCTCCCTGCTTCATTCATGGCCTTTATTCCTACATGAAATTGCATTTCTACTTTTTTTTTTTCAGTTTTTGCTAGAGGGTACATGTGCTAGTCAGAAACAGAGAGAAAAAGTGAGACGTCATCCCCCAGGGGTGATGGCCACACCTCAATCCCTTCTCCATTCTCCTCGCAGGGTTTTGGGCATGGATGCACAGGTGCCTGGTGTGTTTTTCAAGCCACTAGATCCAGTACACAGACTGTTCAGTCAGCCTGGGATGTAGGTGCCTTAGCCACCGTGCCATTGGCTGGCTCTACATTTCTACTTTTTTTTGTTTTC